CCTGACATTAGTTACAGGTTTCTTTAAACATCAGTAATTGGAGTTTATTGAGACAATAAGTCAAAATTCTTATAAGAAATGTATCAATTTAAATGATAAACGATGTCAGTGCTCACCCGAACTGACCGACACTTAAGTTACGGTAGAATCAGAATCTTTATACTAAATATTTTGTTTACACGTTTGACCTGAAGTTTTTCAGCTTAAGTCTCTAACAAAAGAATAAATGAATAGATTAACAGCAACAGTTTCCCTGGAAGAGAATTGTGTTCCCTCCACTCATAAAGTTTGTTGATATGAGCCGCAGGACAGAGGCGGCTGTACAGGATCACAGTGTGACTGCTGTGTGTGTGTGTGTGTGTGTGTGTGTGTGTGTGTTTAAAGAAACGGTGGAGAACTCTCAGAAGGCCTACCAGGACGCCTTCGACATCAGCAAGAAGGACATGCAGCCAACACACCCCATCCGGCTGGGCCTGGCCCTCAACTTCTCCGTCTTCTACTATGAAATCCTCAACTCGCCCGAGCAGGCCTGCTCTCTGGCCAAGCAGGCGAGTTTCAGCACACACACCCACAGGCCGCACGGCTGCCTCTCAGCCGTTCACCTGACCTCCGCGAACAGACGCCAAGGATTTCCACGGGAAACTAACATGTTTTTTGTTCTTTTCACTGCAGGCTTTCGACGAGGCGATCGCCGAGCTTGACACCTTGAATGAGGATTCATACAAAGACAGCACGCTGATCATGCAGCTACTAAGGGACAACCTTACTGTAAGTATGCGACCAACCGTTGTTTTACTAATCCATCTGTTATTAAAACATTTTATTGAAACATCTGTGTTGGGATCCTCCAGGAATATTCTCCCCTTTTCATCTTGAGCTTCAGTAGATTTGACTCATTAAACTTGTTGCGTAACGTGAGAGACGAGCGAGTTTTACAGGTAAAGCTGCTTTTAGAGGCAGCTGCTGTGATTGGCTGCCTATCACCAAATGATTTACGCTCTCAGGTCATTTTCTTTCTGTTCGCTTGAACTTGGCTGATTATTGTTCTGTAATTACTGGTTTTATGTTAAAGATAACTTTATAAATGCTAAATTAAAATAAGGATAGTCTGACCTGTTTCATCTGCAATCTGATCAAGAAACAAGAAGCGGATCCAACATTTGGACGTTTTCATTCTGTAAACTCACTGGAGTTTAGAGACAAATGGAGTCAGCTGTTCTGAGTCTCCATGTTCTCATTTCTGTCCGACCCAAAAACTCTACACACGTTCGCTTTCTGATGGGAAACATTTCATTTTGACAGTTGAATGTCAAATGATTTATTCACTCCTCATTAATAGAAAAACCTTTACAGGAAAAAATGTAATAAAACCTTTTTTAATAACTGCTGAGCTCATTTTCACATGTTTCTGTTGACTTTTATATTTGGTTAGAAGGCTTCTGTACCATCACCCTAATCTTCCTCAGATTGAATTCAGGAGTCCCGTCTGATCATTAATATTACTTCCAGTCAGGAGATGCATGCTAATTAATCAACGGTTTCAAACAAACATCTGTGTGTTTTATGACTCATTTGGGGAGAAATAGATTCAGATTAGCTTTATTTTATTGAATGTTACAAAAACAAAATGAAGTGAAATGCTGTTTTACAAAGCAATAATTTCCCATTGGTAAATAAAAATGAAAAAGTAGAATATAAAGTTTTAATCTCTTGAAATCTGCTTCAGTCCAATATCACATTTCTTTCTGATGTTATCCAAACTGGTTTCAGTTGGTTCATCACCTGCTGTTCAGCTCATTCATGTACATTTACAATAATAATAAACTCCATTCTTGTCATCATCTTTCCTGTGTGACTGAGTTACTGTCAGCTCTTTAGACGTCTGGCCTTACAGATGTTTTGTGTGTTTGCAGCTGTGGACATCAGAAAACCAGGGAGACGAGGGTGAAACCGGCGACGCAGACAACTAGAGCGCACTTCACTGTTAACCCATCCCCACACTTCTCCTCTCCCTGTATCTCCTCCTCTTTCTTCTCTTCCTCCTCTCTTCGTACACATAAACAGCCCGTTCATTCCCTCGTTCCCGCCTCTCCGAGCCCGGCCGCCTGACTTCCCTTCTGTATAACCAACAGCATGAATAGCACCCCACCTTCACAAATATTACTGAGCGGATGAGGCGAGGTTCAGGACCCCGCCGCCTGCGCTCGCTCGCCCGTTCCCCCCACCCGCCCTCTCTCCATCATGGCACTCCAACACAGGCCAGCAGGCTCACACCTCTGGCTGGTTTAGTCTTATAGCACGCAGAGAGGGTTTTTATCCCAAACCACCAACTAAATGAACATCCTCCAGAGCCCGCCTTCTCCTTTTTATACCTTCCTTGTTTAATCTTTCTCTTCCATCCCTCCCTCCTAACATCTCAGTACGTTCTCTCCCTCCTTCCCTCCTGTCCTAGTGAGTTAAAGCATTTATATAGTTGTCCATTCCTTCTCTGTTTGGCTTTTCATAGTGTACTGGCAAAGAATGGCTGGTTTTATTCCACTTTAAACAAAACAAAGGTTATTAAACTGTCCGTTTATTTTCAACAAACGCTGTGATGCTTAGTTTTTCCTCTAAATCCTCCCGACCTGGGAACGGAGGGGGTGGGTGGTTGTTTGAACAGCAGGGGAATTCTGCTGGGGGTTTATACAGAAGGGTCCTCCATACAAGGCTGTATTGTGACACTGATCAAAGTTAAACAAATGGTTTTTTCTTTTTGGTTTGGGTAATCAAACACTCGCTGGTTTCTCTCTTTTTTTTTTTTTTTTTTTTGCCAACTGGGACCTTTAAAGATTTGACACCATTTCACAAAAAGAAAAAATCGTAAATTGTTCAGCAAAAGTGGAAACATTCCATTTTCATTTTCAGCAAACGCGACCCGCTTGCTCCCCTCCTTTCTCTCGCCTGTCCTTTGGTTTACTTTTCCGGGTGTGTTTTGATTCTGTAACCAATCGATCAGTTCCGTTTTTTGAAAACTGTAAAATTGTAAAACATTTTTAGAGCTTAACTGTAAATCTTTGTTGTTGTTTTTATTGTGGAGAACAGAATGGTTTTGGATGTTCGTTACCACCTGCCTGCAGATAAAACCTTGAAGCCGTTACAGTCAGCTGCTGTTTGATGCTTTGGTGAATTTTTTATTTTTTTTTTAACCAGATTTGTTTCTGCCTTCCTTCGCTGCCCTCATTCTGTCCATTCCTGCCTTTACAAGACAAGTTTAGTCAAGTCTCGTGTTACAGCTCGCGGCAGAACGCTGCAAAAAATGGCTGCCCTGAGCCGGAGCCGCTTCAGTCTTCTGCAGCACGAGTTAAAAATGGTACAGACTGTGGAATGACGCCGCTTCCAGGGACCTGGCGTTTCTATTTCAATCAGACCAACATCAAAATCTTAATTCCTGCCCTGCTACTGAAACAAACGTAGCTGTGGTGGAACGAGTTGCAAAACGTAAACTTGGTTTTTGGTGCAGGTAGGAGCCTCGGCAGGTGTGTACATTTAGGAGCCAAATCACAGCCGATCAGCCAATCGAGGAAATGAGAACCTGTAGTTTGGATTATGGTTTGAGAAAAATGTGCAGATCGGTTGAGGCTCGCGTCCAACTGCACTGAAACAAATACTAAAAATTAACCCCCCCAAATAATCAGATTTCATATTCGACTTTACATCCTGGTATTGGCAGACGTCAGCTAAAACACTGCAGCTTTTCCCAAAACATTTCCCCCCTTTTTCTACTCAGTGTCACAATAACCTTGTCTAAAGCACCATGACATTCCACTCTGTAGATGTAGAAGGTATTTTTTCTTTTTCCTGGGGACAAATATTTTCATGCACTGACATTTTAAAAAGTAGAAAAAGACAACAAAAAAAAAATCTCATCCTCCCTGCTGCTCTTTTTTTCCTCTTTAGCTGAACAAAACGACAGTTACTCTTCGCTTTCTAAGGAAAAACTGATCCCTTGCAGTAGTGAATGTGGCACCGAGCCTGTCTGTATATCTGGTATCTGAAATCATTTTGTTTTTACTGACCAGTATTCTGCTTAAAATAAAACAAAAATCAACCCAAAAACAACAAAAAAGTCTGCTTCTGTGACGGTTTTCTTGCTTAGCTCGCACGTGGTTGTGAAACTTTAGGGTTAGCTTAAATATAGAAAAAAAAACCGCAAAAATGGTTTTTAAAAAATGGGGGAAAAAATCCCGGGTACCTTTCCTTCACTCTGGTTCTTGACGTAAAACTAGATTTGTGTATGTCTTTTAAAAAAAAAATCCAATTCTAGTTTAACCTTTCATGTTATAAACAGGATAAATTGTAAAAGACGATTTAAAGTGAAATAAAGTTTTATCAGTTCCGAATCAGCCCTTCTCTGTTTGTCGTCACCTGCCAGCCTGATCATGCTACATGTTTCTGTCTTCCTGTTGCTACCGAACAATCAATCGATCAATCAACAGATCAAATCTCTGGCTCAGACAACTGTTGGGACAGAAAAATGCAAATCCTCACCATGTTGACAGGCTTCACTGTTATCAAGTCTCAGCGACGTTTTATTCAAATAGACGTATGCAAAGTTTTATTCTCGTTTGGTCTTATAGACAATCGGACAACGGAAATAATTCTGCACAAAAACAAAGAACTTTTGGACTGAATGTTGGTTCCTGTTCATCATTCTTACCATCCTTGTCACTTTTTACACAATCCTTTTTTGGTTGAAACTTAATTTTTTTCTTAAGTGGGTTTCAGATGAACTTCTCAGATAAATTAATAGAAGTATCATTTAGCCTTCTTTGGGGAATTGAACCAGGAGCCAGTTGAAGTAGATGAGAATAAGACGGGACAGGAGTAATATAGTCCAGTTAAATTAGCACTGAGGTTAAAGGAAACATGCAACTGATTGTACAGTAAAATATTTGATGTGGATGGAAGAATTTTCTTAAAACTGCAAATAGCAAAAATACCTGCAATGTTAAAATACTATCTAATTTTGCCACTGAAGAAGCTGCAGCAGCAGCAGCTCTGCAGCAGCAGCAGCTCTGCAGCAGCAGCAGCAGCTCTGCAGCAGCAGCAGCAGCTCTGCAGCAGCAGCAGCAGCTCTGCAGCAGCAGCAGCAGCTCTGCAGCAGCAGCAGCAGCTCCATGTGTTCAGTTCAAATCTGTTTATTTCGATGGCACCAATTTACAACAAATGTTTCAAAGCACTTTGTAAAACCAAATTAAATTGAAACAGAAATGTTTGTCACCTGACATGTTTCCTGCTGTCCTGAGAATGGGTTGTCCACGCCTTCCTGTTCCTGCTGCTTACTGATCTGCTTGGGGTCAAAGATCACAGAATGTCTGCACATCTGTGAGCTCGACCATTTGCCGCTCTGTCCGTTTTATCTGTTTGCATTCAGGGCCAAGCAGCTGCCGCGCCCAACGCGCATCGGACCACAAACGAGTCTTTGGTGCCAACTTCCGTGTTCATTTCATGTGATATGATTTGGACCATTCCACTGGCGAGATGCGGCTCGGAAAAGTGTTTCCAGGCACTTGATGTATCTTCAAAATGAATTGTTCTAGCAAATGTACGTAAATCCTTGAGTGAGGACGTTTCTGTCTCTGCTGGGTTTGAAAGCTCAGAACTCCTGGAGTCTTTTTGCTTCTCGCTGTCTGAACATGTCTGCTGCTGCCGTCAGCCGCAGCCGTGAGTCACAGTTCACGCCGTGGTCGCTCGCTGGCGTTTACAGTGTGTGCAGTCAGCGGCGAGGAGCTCAAAGGTGTGTTGCATCTGACTCACTGCTACATTAGTTTGATCGCATCGCAGGGTGGAGCAGGAGCTTCAAGTTCAGAGCTGCAAGTTCAGAGCTGCTGTCACTGTTGAAAACATTCAGGTGTCCTCAGCCTGCAAATCTCAGAATGTAGGAAAACTGAATGACTAAACCTTACCAAGTATTTATTTAGTGAAAATATCTTGAATAAAACAACTCACAAGTAACTTTTTATCAAGATTGAAGAGCTAGTAAGTAAATAATTCCTTACAATTGAAAGCATACTCGTTCTATTGGCAGATTATTTTACTTTAACATGGAAAAATGTAATAATCTGTCCTTTTTCATCAACATTAAAGATTTATTGACAAGCCGCCTGTTTCTCGCTTAAAGTTCACTTTAAGATTTTGTGTTTTTGCACATCCACGTTTGCCCTCCGTTTTAGAGTACACACTATGACCGGCGCGTGTGTGTGTGTGTGTGTGTGTGTGTGTGTGTGTGTGTGTAATATGTTGTGGGAACTGAAGCCTGAGGAAATTCATGTCTGAGTTCTCTGCCAACTTAAACATTTACCTCAACATGTTGGTTACACTTTTGCTTTCAAGCTTCTTGCCTTTACAAACTCAGATATTCAGGTGAAAAATTGAAGAGTTTTAACAACAAAAGTGTGTCCAGTGGTACCAGAATGAGATGAATGAAAGCAGCGTGTTTGTCGAGCGGCGGCTCTTTCTCCTGCAACAGAACCAAACAGTTTCTATTTGTTCCTCTTTTAGCAGAGGAACTGCTCCAGACAAGCTGCTACGTACATGAAACATCCGGCCGGATAAAACAGACTCGTTTCACACTGAACGTTTGAGGTGTGCAGCTCTGCAGGCAGATGATGTGGCCTGCGTTGCCCGGCTTGTCAGAATGATCTTCCAGCAAGTAAAGGAAGATGTTTGCAACAAACCTTCAACTCTGGTTATCATTTTAAAAAATGATTCCTTGTTCACGGTTTCAGTTGCCAAGTCAACAGCTTTAGGACATCTGGGAGTGTCGCTCACCAAAATTGGGCAGAATTGTTGCCACCAGTGCAGAGCTTGTTAAATGTTAGAAACAGACATTAGAGTGCAAAAAGGTCGCAGATCTGCCTCTGGATGAAAAGTCATTTTCATTTTATTTTGGACTAGAGAAGAAAAGGTTAGCGGTGCCAACAGTGTGGCAAAAATAATCCACTTAAATCAGAAAGTTGATCCTGATTCAGTTTGGTCCTGCAGCCAGAATGCAGTGATCTCCTGTAACCGGTGTGTTTCTGGTTCTGCAGAGTGGAGGTCCAGCTGCTGCTGGTGCCAATTTAATGTCCGTCTTCTCATTTCACCACAAGCCAACGTATCGCCATCCGCAAGCCAATGATTGTTGCTTTGGAGTCCTCTGACTTGATTAAGTTGCTATACAAATAAATGCAAGTAGTTTAAAGATTACAACATTAAAAACTTGGACCTGTAGTCATGAAACCCATCAGAATGTAACCCGACTTCGATTAAAAAATTTAAAAAAACATAGAGAAATGGCAAAGTGATCAACGCCAAGCTCTTAAGAACGATCAACACTGTAAATATGATCATTCTGCTACAGATCTACTAATGCATAGTTCCTGCAAATCTGAACCAGGAGTGATCTGCACACCTGAACCTCCATCTTGGTGAAGCATAGAAGAACCAGAGCAACAAACAGAAAACTGAGCACTCAAAAACTGTAATTACTTATATTGTTTATAAATTAGATTGGAATAAGGCAGGAGGAAGTTCTAAACTCATGGCTCATCATTGTTAGCATAGCAACTGTTAGTAGGTACAGCTGCCTACCAAGATGGCCGTCGGCTGCAAAGTTTCTGTAACGTCACTTAAAATCTGCCTACATGTAACTTTAGAAGCTCATAACCTCTGAGCAGGCAGAAAGCTCGTTTTGAATTAAAGTTATTTTCTGGTTTCAAAATGTTTTTAATTGGTTTGATGTAATATTCTAATTTTAAATGTCAAGTTTTCAGAAATTGACAGAAAAAGTGTTAATATATCCATCCTTGTGTAATTAATCCAAGTAATTTTTCACGATAAAGTTTCCAAAATAAATTATCTAATATTCTAATTTATTGAATGTGTGTGTGTGCATGTGAAACAAAAGGGAAAAAAATACCTGCATGACTGGAAACAAATGCACATAACTGCTGATTTTTATCAAAAAGTTACATATTAGCAAATTAAAGGACATTTTTTTATCAATCTGTTCAAATCAGGTGAGAATAAGAAGATTTTTGGGGGTTTTGTCTGTTTTTTTTTTAGGAAGATGGCGACGGCAAAATAAAAAATGCTGAACCAAAGATGTGAAAACACGATTCACACTGAGGGTTTATGAACAATCTGAGATCAACTTATGTTTCACAAACTTTGTCTGGGAAAAGCAAAAACATAAATTGTTTTAAAATGATTTTTATTTTGCATACAATAATCCAAAGCAGCAGATGAATGACGAAGGCAGGCACTTCAGGCAAGATGGATGGAAGGAAAACATTCCTAATGTTCACATCGCAGTGGAAAAAACAAGATGGCAGGAAGTTTTAAACGTCCCGATCCTTCAGAGCAGCGAGAAATGAAGCAAATAGCAAACAAATGTGTTGATATAGTAATATAGTTTGGAACAATGCTTTATCAAACATTACAAAAACTCAAATAAATGAGGAACTTCTTGAACTTCAATGTTGAAAGATCAACATCCTCCCGTGATGAGCGGTCAAACAAAAACTGGAGACCAAAAGAAAAGAAATAAAATCAGAGCAAAACATGAAGATCATGAAATTTCATCATCATCATCATCATCATCACAGCCAATCTGTCTTATTTTTTACTTTATTCATATCGATCTGATACTCAGGAATCGCTTCTCCATTTTCTTTTCCGTTTTCTCCTAAAACTTTATAGTTTGAAATCGATATTAATCTTTTGAGGTTCAGAGAAATTCTGTTGACAGGTTTCATCTTTAAACCTGGCAACTTTCTGCAGCTTTGAAATACTATTGACAATATTTTAATCCTCAGCAGACGCTTCAGTCTGGGGGATTTTCCTTATTGTTTTTTGTTCTGAAGCAGATAAAGATGCAAATGAGCTAATTCAGGAATTCTCAAGGATGGGCCGACAAATCAGCAGATTTTCTTAGTCAGATGATTGATGACGAATCAGTTTGATCCACCGAGGTTTTACCTCAGCAGCACAGGTCACAGAACCAGCCGCCGTCGCCTTTGGCTCTGCTGACACCAACCAGGTCACGTCTGCATGCCGCTGCAACCGACAGTCACCACACGGCTGCCAACCTCGCAACTATGTTCATATATTTAGGACAAAAAGCAATAAATTGGAATCTGCATCTCATCAAAATCGGCGATCGTCTAGAAAATGCAGTCAGTGCACAGCCTCTGAGTTTGTTTCCTCCTGATGAATATTAACTTACTGCAGGTTTCTGGAGTGTTTGAAAAGTTTCTCATAATATAAGAGGCAGATATGCATAAGGTATGAAATCATGTGGCGTATTTTCACTGCGTTTCCTTTCAGAATCAGAGGAAACAGAAACAACTTCAGATCAGATCCACAGCTGATCCCCGATCTGAAAAATAGATTTTATGTCCGACCTGCTTCACTGATGCCTCATTTACATCTGGGTCCATAATTCTGCTGACTCATCGTGCCCGATCCACTCGCCGACAGAACCGGCTTCATGCCGTTTGGTACCAGAACTGAGTGTTTGGAGTATTTTATTAAGAGGTTTGGGAATTTATTCAGTGGAATAAACAGGATGGAAAAACCTTTTGCTCACTAGCTGCTAAATAAAGAGATGTTTCGTCTCTGCGTGGATCGGAGATGAATATTTTCTCTCTGAGCTCCTGGCTGATAAACATACAGGCTGAAAGGTGGAAAAACTGCAGCTGATATAAATAAACATAAATACTGAACCAGAGAGGCTGACTGTTACAATTAAACTATGAACAGCTGGAGATCGGTCGGGTCAAACTGAAGCGTCCTGATTCAAACCCAGGTTTATTCTGGCGGGGGGTAAACGGGCCAAACGACCGGATCCCGGCGCCGCTCCGGACGCCGTCTCACTTCTTCTTCTGCGCCTCCTGCAGCAGCTTCAGAGCGGCCGTGTTCTTTGGCTCCACCTTCAGGAGGACGTTCAGGTCGTCCACACAGGCCTTCAGGTCCTGCAGGGAGGAAAACGAAACGTTTCAGTGACAAACTGATCCAAACGCATCAACTAAAGATCCAAATGCAAAGGCATCAAAGGCGTCTGCAGAACCCGTGGTATTAACTACATGCGGGCTCTTTCAGGAAGACAGATCAAGATAATCCACATCTGTGACATCAGGGTACATTTCATATTATAGTCAAATAAAAAATATTATTTCGTGAAAAAGTATCGATTTTCATTTGTGGGCAGTCGGATTCTCCATAGTTCCAGTTTTTAGCTGCTGTTTGTTTTCCTTAAACCTGGAACATTTTTCACAACAAACTTTCTGCAGACAATCTGATTACAGATCAAGTATCATGTGTCCAATCTATTCAGTCTAATTCTATACTTTGTGCTCTGTGTGACATTGTGCTTTATTATTTATTTTACATTATATTTCTGGACCGTTTGGAAAAAGGTTTGTTGGAGTTTATTACATTTGACCAAAGTGGTCAGTTTCAGTTTCTTTATATTTATTTTTCATTGTTTGTTTTACTCCTAACTGAACTGACTGAACAAATAAAAGTTATTTTTTATGTTTGATCAAGCTTGAGAAGCTGTTGGTGTATCTCAGTGTTCTGTAAAGAGTTATAAAATAAATGCATAATTTAGTACATTTATGTCAGTGTTTCACAATAACAAATGAATTCATCTGAAGCTGTAACCAGTGCATCGTTACATCCTGGTTTGTGCTGATGACTGCAGCTTTTCTTCTCCGCTCTGAAACCTCAGGCCAGCCAGGTGCCGCTCTCACCTTGAGCTCCTTGTGAGCCTGCGCCCTCCGGTAGAGCGCCTTCACGTTGCCGCCGTCCATCCTGAGCGCCTCGCTGCAGTCCCTGACGGCGTCTCTGTACTGCTTCACCGACAGGTAGCACAGCGCCCTGAGCACAACAGGCAATCGATAATTCATTTAGTTTGAAATTTCAAGAATCTGCCGAATGTTATGTCTATGATTTATAGCCGTCGATTAATTCAGTGTCACACTTATAGGTGTTGTAAAACAGAAATCACAGAACAACTTCATAATTTAAAGTTGAATGAGCCACACAAGAAGAAAAAAATTAAATTGCGTTTTGCTGGAAACTGTCAGATCTGGCAACCCTGCCGCAGAGCGCCATGTTTGTTGTCTGAGGTGAGAGAGAGAGAAAAAAAAAAAAAAAAACGTGAAAATCTTCTCATCACGATGAGGATTTTGATTTATTGGTGTTTCAATAAATTCCCATCGTGGTGTTTAAAAAAGCTGAGAAATGTTATCTTTGCTACTATCTTCACTGTTTTATGAGAGCATCAACAAATATCAGAAAATTTGACATTATGATTAAATGCGGCTCCTGTGATCAGTTGAGTGATATAAATATCTAAGCTGAGATTTATATCACAGCCTGTGTCAAATGAGAAGAACTTGTTTATTATCATCAAAATTGATAGTTTCTGGTTTCAAACCTTCATGAAAATCCTTTCTGAGCAGGCGGGGCTGATTTGAGTAAATAAATGCTGGTCACAGGCGTCTGGCGTTGGTCTTTGTTGCGTTTTGGTTTATTTACATGTAAACACGTTTTCAGCTCACCGGTTGGTGTAGGTTGTGATCTCGTTGGGGTTGAGTTTCAGACTCTGGCTGTATTTCTCTATGGCCTTTTTATGCTCCCCTTTCTTCACCAGACTGTTGCCTTCTTCCTTCAGGGTCTGCGCTTTCTTCATGTCTTTGTCACCTGGTGCTAAAAAGAAAAAAAAAGGGGGACTTATCTATATAAACCTTTGTTAGTTCCAGTAAATTGGGGCAAAATGATCCCATTCCATCTGTTAGAAATGAGTGGTGAGTTTATTCTGTTGCTGTAGTTGGAAGTGCTGACCGGGTTTGTCTGTTTTCTTGATGCCGTTCTGCTGTGGCGCCGGGTTCGCCTTCGGATCGCTGCCTGCAGCCTGCTGGGCGAGCTTCTCCCTCACCGACAGAGGAACGGTGGGGATGGGAGGAAGTTTCTCCCTCCATGTCGGGCCGTCTGCCTCTGTTAGCGCTTTCGTCATTCTGAGAAAACAGGAAAAAAGGATTTTATTTTCATGCAAAATAAATGACAACATGCTGCTACAAGGAGGCTGTAGATGTAAAGCTGATGGAGGGATGAGCAGCGCCATGTATTGCTTGATTGACAGCACTAAGACCCGCCTCCTATCTGATTGGTTGTTTCTACACAGGGAGCACCATCTTTTCAGATTATCTCTCTCATATCATAATGTCACATTTTCAAACAAATATGTAAAGAAAATCCTTCTGCTAAAAATTAAATATCAGAACAACACAAGGACCACTTAACCAGAAAAACATAAACATAATTAATTTGTTTTAAGACATAAAACAAAAATAAGTCAAACTACAGTTTCAAAGAAAGTTACATCAGGATGTTGAGCAGAGAAACGTATTTTTCCTAAACTCGTCCTGAGAGGCTGAAGCCGTTTTATCTGTCGGGGTTTGAAAGCAGCAGCGGCTCCCGACCTGTTGGTGCCGTCGTGAGCTGCTGCGATGTTGTAGTCGATCTGCAGGGCGGTCTTGTAGTCGATGTAAGCGTGTCTGTAGCGCTCCAAGGCTTCGTAGGCAGCAGCACGTCGGAGCAGAGACTTCACGTTGAACGCGAACAGCTCCAGAGACCTGAGAGAAGACCAGCAGACTGCAGGTGAACAACTCAAACGCCTGTTTTCCAACGGGCCAGAGATCCAATCAAACCGTCAGCGTATGTAACGGATAAGATGAAACGTTTCTGCAGAACCACGTCACTGGAAGAAAAGTCCTTTTAGTTTGATTTGTTCTAATTTTGGATTTTTATTCATATTCTTAGTTGAGGCAATGATGTATGGAGCAATTATTGCTCTTTTCTTTCGGCCAGTGAAGATGCATAACAGAAAACCATTTATGTTTACAACCGCAGCCATAACTGCATTAGGTATTTTGCCATAATAACTAATGTTTCTGGACGGTAAATTGTCCCAGAAGTTACAACAGTAATATGATAGTAATGAGACAACGCTCTCAAAGATCAATAACTTTTAAGTTGTAATGAACATTTAAACCTGGACATTTAAATATCCAAAATAAATAAACAAAACAAACAAAATGAATTATGAAATCTCTGTAAACATATTTGTCCTTCAGAAGAAGGTCTGGTTGAGACCAAAGCAGCAGAATGAACGATAAATCATCCAAACGGGAATTATTGAGCTCATTTTAATTCATCATGTGATTACCTGATTTATTTTGACCGTCATAAAGAGAGCAGTTGATTAGCATCTCAAAAAGCCAAACAAACATGTAACTATCTTCAGTCAGAGGCTTCTTCAGTCAGTAACACTGACTGCTACTGGAGATCCTCTTTAAAGATACTTGGATTAAACGAGTTTTTACTTTGGAATAGATGAAGTGAAATGAAATGTTAAAATTATACTGAAACTTTTCATTGTCATCAATATAAGATATTCAAAAACAAGTCACTGCATCAGAAATAATATATATATATATATATATATATATTATATATATATATATATATATATATATATATATATATATATATATATATATAAAAACAAACATACAGATAAATAAAAAAGATCTGGGAAGAAGGAGTAAAAATGTTAAGAACTGAGATTAACTGGAAAAATGACACATAAACTTCTTACGTATCGCAGTCTTTGACACATTCTGAACAGTTCCCGTCCTTCAGGTAGCTGGCGGCTCGGTTGGAGTACAGGATGGCCAAATCTTCAGGTTCTTCTTATCTGTGGATTAACAACAACAGGTTAAAACGTAACATTTTCCCTGCAGGATGCCCAGAAGAGAAATAAATATTCATCATTTGATATGTAAATTCAACAAGAGTCAAGGCTTTTTTCCTCCAAAACGTTCAGAGGGTGTGGAATGTGGAATATCATCTGTGATATCAATAGAGGTGTTTAAAAAATACTTATTATCATCATTGGTATCATTGTTTTTTCAGTATTGCTAAAAAAGCTGCCATGTTGATAGAAAACGGCGCATTAATACTCACTGGATCTCTCCAGTTCCCTGATGGCCTGGCTGTACAGGTTGGTGGCGTCTCCATACTGGCCCGTCTTGAAACATTCATTTCCTGCCTGCTTTAGTTCTGTCCAAGACTTGGGTTTCTGTTTCTGAGGCATTTCTCCACTTTAAAACTGTTCCAGGAAAAAAAGAAAATCAAGTTATTCAGAGAAAGTCCTGCATAAATCTTCAATGTCAAACTGCTCTTCTTATGATATTGTTATTATACTTTTACTTTCAGTTCCAAGTTTTTTACTTTTTATCTTTAAAAAGTAATTATAGAAATAATAGGATTTCTATAATCTATAATAATACTGTTAAATTAATAGGATTTAATTTAACAGTATAATTTGACCATAATTATATGATTGGATTAATTATAATTGGATTTATGAATAAACTGAACGGTTTGTTCTTACATTTGTGCACCAATCAGGCCTTCCAGACCTCTCAGGTCTTCTGGTTCTGGTCTGCTCTGCATCCCCAGAACCAGAACCAAGAGAGGAGAAGCAGCTTTCAGCATCTATGCACCAAAACTTTGGAAACAGAAAACTGTAAAACAGCGGAAACCCTGACTTCTTTTAAATCGCAATTAAAAACGCACCTGTTTAGAGTTGCATTTGAAATGTAATATGTATGGATTTGATTTTGTGGATATGTATGTAATTTTTTTTTTTTTTTTTTTTTTTTTCCTGTTGTGGGCAACGGGGCCCGGCGAATACCCGTGGTTAAACGGACGGCGGAGTCCGGCGGTAACAGGCGCTTAAATTCCGTGTCAAAGGGAAGGGGGAAGAAAGGGAAAGAAGAGGGAAAGTGGAAAAAGGGGGAAAAAAAGGGAGGAAAAGGAGAAAGGAAAAAAAAAAAAAAAAAAAAAAAACCTTGGTATTTTATTCTATGTTGCATGCCTTCGTGTTTTGTGTTTATGATGTAAAGCACTTTGAAATGCCTTGTAGCTGAAATGTGCTATACAAATAAAATTTGATTGATTGATTGATATACAAGCCAATCAAAGGAAAGAAAAACGAGATCAATAAAAATGATTAATATTTATAGCGCAATATTCCTTATATCAGTGATCAACAGGCTATAGATGTTGTTGTTGTGTAATGTACTCAGTTTAATTAAATTAGGACTTAAAGCGAGTGAATAAAGTCATTATGATTATGTTGTTTTTCAGTGAACTAACGTTAGCTAGGATATAACTAACATTTTTCAATCCTACCGAAACTAAAACAATTCATTAACTGCTCAGAATAATGCAGCTTATGGTGGGTGTTTTTTAATAGAGATGTTTGTGTTTTGAGGGGTGAATATGAAAGCTAACCGCCTAGCCGCAGCTAACCTAGCCACGGCTAGCTTAGCTCTGTAACGTTAGCACGTCTTACCGGCTGGTTGATGTGACTGTGGGGATTCCGACTCTTCAAAACGCGCAGTTTGGTTGGAAAGCGGCTACAGTTGTTGTCAGTCAGCCCAGCTAACGCTAACATCACTGTGAGCTCTAAGGTCGTCCTGCCGGTTTAAAGACACGAGGTTGTCCTCGGTCTGAGCGGAGCTTCTGGAAAGAAGAAGCCGGTTGGATCTAGTAACTTCTCAGGTTGGTGGAGGAGCCGCAGGCTAACTTATCGGTTTCACTTCGTTTTAGCGGTGCGTTCAGGGACCCTTTCAAGTGTCGAACGTCTGAAATGTATGTGATAAGCGTTGCGTTGCGCCTCCAGGGGCCGACCGCTGTTTTGAAGTTCTACTTGTTTCCCAAATAGATATTTACATATTTAAAACTGTAATACATAAATTTAATGACAAATTTAAATGTTTCAGTAATTAATTCAATTTAAATCGTATTTATTGTCATATGTAACTGTTTCAATTGGTTTTTTTTAATTTTATTGTATTATTTGACAGTTCCTTTGCTACCATCCATAATAAAATAATTTTAAATTTTACCCAAACCTAAAATGGTTTACCTGCATAGCAACTCCACTGCAGTCTAGACCAATCACCTCAGTAAAGGCAGTTTGTCCCGCCCTCCGACAATTTTACGTTTGACTGAAAATATAACATATAAATAATGGATAATGAATTATTTCACCATTTGAATTATCAATACCTTAATGCTTATGTTTTTAGTTTCATTTGTAATTAGATATTTAGTTATTTATGTATTACTAACTGACTTTCATTACGTCTACACCCTGGAAAACCCTCCATGCTGTTATTTTTACATTAATTTATTAAATTATTATGAGTAGTTGTTGTTGTTGTTAATCTAAAGCACATGGAGAAATAAAATCACCAAAATCATTTTATTTAAGAAAGTAAAAATAAAACATTCATACTGACTGATTTATAATCAATGGTATTATTTTTTGGCTCTTACAACTGCAAATAGTGAAACCATTAACTGGTTTTAAATGGCTTTGGTGAATTAATTTTACTATGAAATTGAAACATTTTATTGTGATTTCACAAATCAAAGGAAAAACATATAAAACAGGAAGCACTGAATCTTTTCTCTTGTTTAGTGTGCAGTGAATGTAGAAATGTTCACAGTTTTCGCACAGATTAACTGAATTGGCTGTAAGAATGTGAAAATGAAGCACTGTTGCCTTGCAGCAAGAAGGTCCTGAGTTCGATTCCCGTCCCGGGATCTTTCTGCACAGAGTTTGCATGTTCTCCCTGTGCATGGTGGATTCTCTCCAGGTACTCCGGCTTCCTCCCACAGTCCAAAAACATGACTGTTAGGTTAACTGGTCTCTCTAAATTCTCCCCAGGTGTGTGTGTGTGAGTGCATGGTTGTTTGTCTCTGTGTGGCCCTGCGACAGACCGGCGACCTGTCCAGGATGACCCTGCCTCTCACCAGGAACACAGCTGGAGAGGCACCAGCACCTCCTGACCCCAGCGTGTCAGAAAATGGATGGATGGATGTGAATATGAACTCGGGCTCCTGCATCTTATCTCGTTATTGTATTTTTTTTTTTTTTTTGTTATTTTATTTTTTTTTTTGTTTTGTTTTTTAATCTCAGTTGAGAACTGAAAGTGTTATTAATTGGAATGTTTTTCAAACAAAGATACACCATTTTCTATTTGTTTTCTTCTTTTTAAATACCAAAACGTTGACACGTTTTTGTATTGTGTCCCATTTTGTGGACAGCCGTGAACGCATCATCAGACGGAGCGCAGCAGTTGGTCGGTTTCTATTTCAGGGAAAAACCGTTTCTGGTCTGGGAAGCAAGTCACGTTCCAGGCGCAGGTCTCGCGTTATTTGAATATTAACCTGAAAATTAGAAATGATGCATTTTTAAATTTTAAATTTTAAATTTCATTTCGTTCTCTCAGATGCCTGCAATCCTCTCATTTAGGCACACTGGTTTAAAAATTTTCAAATTTTGTCTTGTCACAATTATAATATGAGGGCAACTATTAAATTATTGCAATTTTTAAGAAAGTAAAGAAAAAAGAGTAATAAATAGTGTGAATAATTAGACAAATCCCAAGTCACAGAACATGATAACAACATACTGCAACTTAAATTGATTATAAATGCTACGGTGTCACAAAATTACACATCCTAACTAGAGTATAGGTTTTTGTTATTTAATTAGACAAAATGTTGCACAAGTAAGCATTACAAAGAGAAGACATTTTATGTTTTGGAAATTTATTACTCAGGAAACATATCACAAAGAGAAATCCCTGAGAAACAACGCAGACAGAAGTACAAAACTGCAGGAAAAACTTTCTTTAGTTTCTGGAAAGGACAATTTGTGCTAATTCTTATATATTGTTTCATTAAGACTCAAAGTAAAATTAAAACATCCTTAAATAAATTATTTCTAGATGAGCAAGAAATTCTGCAATGCTTTAATTAACATATAATATCCCAGATTACACAAAACCACGAAACCTAAAATATGTGTTATATATTTTGTTATCTGTCTTGATTTCAATCGTCTTGCCTTTAAAGGAAGACAATGTGAGAAAGTCAAGGTTTAATGTTGACAATGCAGCTGGCCTTGATGTCTCTGAAGGAGCTGCAGTTGAAGTTGGCCAGCAGACTCCGCTCTCCGCTCTTGTAGGGAAGGAGAACGACTGCAATACGGAATCTGGAGTTTGGCCGCAGATTTGGAAGACTGCAAGCAGAACAAAAGCAATTTCAAAATAGTTTGAGCAAATATTAGCTAATCAACACTTGCTTTTATGTTTCCCTCTCAGACTTTATTGCAGTGTAGAAAACCTTCAGTTTAGCAGATTATATTTAATTATATTTTAAATGCCTGAAAAACCATCATAAGTAACATTTCTGCAATAATATTGCAGTTCCATCATGCATACTCACTTGGTTATTTCTTCCCCGATCACGAGTCCACTTCCAGACAGACTCATAGAGCAATCCTTCAAGATCTCATTGATAGGATTCATGAAAACCACTTCAGCAGTCAGTTCCTGGTTCACCTTGGTTTCCCTAGACACCTGCAACACAAACAGCTTTAATCAGCTAAACAACTAACGCTAAAAGAATTAAATGGACTGTTTTGACCTCAAAAAGAGATTAATATCTCAATAAGAAAAAAATGCAAAAAAATATATTTTCCTCAAACTTATGAGTCCTGGTGAAAAGACAAAAAGGACAAATATGTTTGAACCAGATCTGATCCAGTTTCATAAATAAAACAAAAAAAATGTCACTGCACAGTTCCACACTGTAAAACATAGTGTATCTTCAGCTGTTTGCTAATTGCTGCTGGCTAGTCTGAAGGAACTCTGAGGAGGATCTTGAAGGCGGGGCTAGGTCCAACTAGGCGTTTATGACAGCTTAATGTTTGCCATGGAGATGAAAGGATTTCTCAAAGATGCATAAAAGAATCAAGGCGACCCCGGGTTTGTTTTTGATGAGGGAATAACATTAAAGCATGATGGAAGGTTAAATGATACTGCTCCTTTAACAGGTGGAGAAGAGGTGACTTTTGTTTCTGTACTCACAGTGATGGAGAGTGGGGGGTTTGTGAGCACAACTCTGTTTGTAGCCAAGTAGACGTTGTTTTCATTCTGTAGGTCAGTGATGACGGCGGATATACTCATGGTCCGGCGATCTATCATGTGCTTGTGGTAGACTGAGAATGGGACCTTTATAGGGACAATCAGATCTAAAACAAACCCAAAAAAACAAGCAACGGTGAGTTCATGATTGTCAGATTTCGATTTCAGATCCAAGTTTTCAAAGAAAAAAGAAAAGCAATGACCTTTCCCCGGCAGCAGCTTCTGCTCTGTGACCTCGGTCTGGATGTTCCCCACTGGCTCGCCCGTGTATTTCATGGCCTGGGACGCTGATGTTGATGGAAAACGTTCTGGTGGTGCTGTTGCTGCTGCTCAGAATCATCTTCAGGTTCACATCCTTGCCGTTCTCCGGCTTGGAGACTTCATTGGGAATCGGAGGAAAGTGAAAATTCACTCTCATCCTCATAACAGTAGGCCAGGAAAGACATCTAATCAGCTGGACGAAGGCTACCTCTTCAAATCGGATGAGCAGTTGTGGTTGTGAAGGATCAGGTGGAGGTAATGTGGTCAACTCCGATGCTGAAGCCCTGTCATCAGAACTGGCAGCATCCCGCCACATCGTTGATCCCTTTAGGATTTTGTCAAGAGCATATGCAAAGACCTTTCGTTCCTCCAGAGTTCCTGTATCGGGTCGGTCAAAGTGAATAAACAAGTTTTCATCACAGCATTTCAATGCATCAACAGTTTCATGATCAGCTAATCTGAGTCTGGAAATATCAGGTTTCCTCCACTGGTGTTGGATTTATCTTTATTTTTTTATACACCAGTAGCACAGATAGTAAAGACAGACTAAACTAGGTTAATAAAACATAAGTAATCTTGAGCAGACAATTATCTATTCAAAATTATAATGATGTATATATATCTGTGTGTGTGTGTGTGTGTGTGTGTTCTGAGCTCATTCTCATTCTAAAATAATGAGTGTTGTGATGTTTCATCTATGTTGTACTTTATAAAAAATGCGATTGGAATAATATTTGCTTCATTAATTGAGTATTAGACATGTTAAATGTTAGGCTGATCTTTATGGTAAACAGTTTGTGGATAATCAGAGCTTTAAAAACACAGAGCGCCCCCTGCTGACCATGCAGGTGAGCCCACCTTCTCTGTGCTTGTAGGTGTCGGTGATGTCCATCCTCTTGTACGAGCCAACCGCCTTGGTGGAGATGTTCTGTCCAATTGACTTTGTGTCAGAATAGATGTTCATCCTGGATCCATCACTTCTCACCTGGCAAGGCCGTTAAAACCCATCAGAAACAATCAAGCTTTTCTTTTTTAATGGTGTGGTTCAGAGTTTACTCTACTCACCAGCCAGTAAACGGAGTCAGCGTTGACCTCGCGAAGACAAACGGGACGTCATATTTAAGATTGACTTCTCCGTTCCGGATGGCGGTCACTGAGGCCGGGCCGCAGCAGAACAGACCTGCAGACACACAGGTAACACATCATCAAGTTATTTTATTCAAACGTTCAGCCCTATGTTTGCCATGAGTACAAACAACAAGTTGATGAGAATGAAGTGGATCGCAGGATGTTTTGTTTTGCATTGTACTTATTCAGGATCCAGAGGGAAGGTTTCCATACCTCACTCCTC